AGAAATCATACAAAGGGTCAATATTACAAAAATATTCAACCAAATATTTTAGACAAGCCTTGGTTTTCTAAAATCACAGTCACAAAAGCAATGGTAAAATCTATATGTAGATTAAGATTTAACCATTCCCTTGTACCGTCTCATTTGAACAAAATTAATATGAACGATAACCCAAATTGTTCCTGTGGGGAGTTTGGCGATACACAACATATAATTCTAGGCTGTATAAATTTTACAAACGAAATAAATGTATTTTTAGATAAATTGTTAAAAATTCCAGGCATCCATCAACCTATTAATTTAAGCTATTTAATATCAATCAACGATAATTCCGATCTATACCAACTGTTGTACGCGCATTTGTTAAATATTAATGTTAAATTGTAAATGTAAAATTATATTATAAATCCTTTGTATTTTACCTTTGTTCAAACCCTTCAAACTTACCGTGGTCGTCCATGTTATTGTACAAATCGTCTAGAAAGACCGTTAGGCGTAAAATGTGTCCCTGTTTATGTTTCCTCTGGGAAGAAAAAAAAACAAAAAAAAAAACAAAAAAAAAAACAAAAAAAAAAAACAAAAAAAAAACAAAAAAAAAAAGGAAAAAAAAAATCAAACAAAAAAAATCAAACAAAAAAAATCAAACAAAAAAATCAAACAAAAAAAATGGAATTTAAAAAATATGATATAAAAAAAAATTGGAAAAAAAATATAATTTACTTATATTACAAATTTTAGTTAGTAGGAATTACACAAAAAAAAAACATTGTAAAATCAAATTAAGGACTAAAAACGATAAAGATAGGCGAATGGATGTAAAATCCGCAGTCATAGAACCCCAAACAAGCAAGCAAGCAAGTATGTGATTATAATTTTTTTTTTAATTATTTTTGTGTAAAAGGTCTTTACAAAAACATACCACATATTCCTTAGACCAAAATAAGTCGATTTAAGTAAAATTACCTTAGTACAAAGTTGCTTCGTTTGGGCTCCAGAGGGCCTTATAGTTACAATTTTTAAATCGTTTTTCCCATATAAATTTAAAACGGCATAAGCGATTTTGCTGAAATTTGGTACATTGATAGAGTTTTATGTGACAAAAAAAATAGTATTAAAATTTTGTCCGATAATATTACATAGGCGTAGAACTTGATTTTTTAAATAATTGCACCTTTAAAAATTCTACGCCAATGGAACAAATGGAGTTTGAGTATGAAATTTAGATTGCGCAACTCATTAGATTTAAAAAAGTTACTCTTGATAAGACTCGATTACTCTCATGGTTTTCGCTAAATTTCTGTTTTAATAATTTAGAGTGTATAGGTTTCACAAAAATATTTATTTACAACATAATCAAAATAGAGATTTTACAAAAATTGTTTAAAATGTTCACCATTTTCACGCATACAAAGATTTATACGTCAAAGAAAATTAAAATGTATCCTTTCCATAACTTCTTCATCACCTCTAAGATTGTTTATTGCATCTTGAATACGTTGCCAGAGTTGTTCCTCATTTTCTACAGGTTCCCTGTAAACTGTGGATTTCAGATGTCCCCATAAAAAGTAATCCATCGGTGTTAGGTGTGGGGAACGTGGTGGCCAGTTCACAGGTACGTCATTACCTCTGCCTATCTATTTGTGTGGATATTGTTCATTCAAGTGGTTTCTAACGTTTCAAGAAAAATGTGGTGGAGCTCCATCTTGCATGAACCACATATCTCTCCGAAGTTGGAGAGATAAATCTTCTAACAATTCTGGTAACGTATTTTGTAGAAAATCCAAATAATTTTCTCCAGTTAATTTTCGTGGAAGTATGACAGGACCAACAATGAAATTACGAATTATTCCAGCCCACACATTAATTTTGAATTCGTGCTGAAAATGGTTTACCTTTATTGCATGAGGATATTCAACGGTATAAACATGTTCATTATGGGTATTAGTTATACCTCTTCTGGTAAAACCCGCTTCATCGGTAAAGAGAACCTTCTTGACAAAGTTTGGATCTCTTTCTCTTTGCATATAACAAATCGACAAAAACCCAAACGAATTTAAAGATCATGGACTAATATTTCTTGCACTGGCTTCTTATGGTATGGATATAGCAATTGTTTTCTAAGCACTTTATGAACGACATCTTTCCTTACTCTTAGTTCCCTTCCAATTCGTCTGGTGCTTAATTCTGGATCTTCTTCAACACGTTCTAAAATGTCTTCTTCAACTTCAGGAATCCTTACAAAACGTTCTCTTCCATTATCAACAGTGTTGGGAGCAAAGGAACCGGTCTCCCGAAGACGTCTCTCAACAGCAGCAAAAGTTGGATGGCTAGGTACACGACGATTTGGAAACCTTTCAGAGTACACCCTGACACTCTCTCGAGCATTTCCTTCACAAAATCCTAATGTCAGTAACACATCGGTATATTCTGCATTAGTATATTGTACAGCCATATTAATAAACCACGCATTTGTTTTTTTAATTATTGAGTCAGATAGAACACTTTCAATCGTTAACAAGAGATTAGGTGTTAAAACTTGACAATATTTTTATTTAGATGAAACTATGGAAACCAACAATAAATGTTTTTGTATACGTATTGCAGGCAAATAATTAATATTCCTCAAAAACTCGTACATGGCAAGAATCAAGTATTTTTGTTAAAAGTCTCGATTAGAGGTGTTGAAGAAGATATGAAAAAAGTACATTTTTATGTGTTTCATCGTATAAAATTTTGTCCGATAATAATACATAGGCGTAGAACTTGATGTTTTAAATAATTGCACCTTTAAAAATTCTACGCCAATGGCAAAAAAGGGGTTCGAGTATGAAATTTGGATTGGGTACTCATTTACTACAAAAAAGTACCCTTGATAACACTTGACTTACTCTCATGGTTTTGACAAAGTTCGTATTTTAATAATTATTGTTTATGTTCTAAAATTACTAAAATGCAAATTTCGTCAAAACCATCAGAGTAATCGAGTCTTATCAAGAGTACCTTTTTTAAAGTAAATGAGTTGTACAATCTAAATTTCATACTCAAACTCCTTTTCTTCCATTGGCGTAGAATTTTTAAAGGTGCAATTATTTAAAAAATCAAGTTCTACGTCTATGTATTATTATCGGACAAAATTTAAATACCATTTTTTTGCCACATAAAACTCTACCAATATACCAAATTTCAGCAAAATCGCATATTTCGTTTTAAATTTATATGGGAAAAACGATTTAAAAATTGTAACTATAAGGCCCTCTGGAGCCCAAACGAAGCAACTTTGTACAAAGATAATTTTACCTAAATCGACTTATTTTGATCTAAGGAATATGTGGTATGTTTTTGTAAAGACCTTTTACAGACACTCTGTATATACAGTGTCTCGCAAAAAGCCTGCCCCATATGGAAAACTTTTTATTGTCGCTTTTTTCAGAAAATGTTATTCCTGATAAAACTAGGTGTTTAATTTTAAACCTAAAACTTTCTTTATTTTGAATATAAATAAATATAAATTTGACTGCGCAGTGAACTAGGTACCCATCTAGGAACCCACATTTTTACTTTCCTATCTGTATACAGATCAGGAAAGTATAGGAATCATTATTTTTTCGACCTCCAGTTTTCGACGGATTTTTACGTTTTTGGGGTCCCCTAAATCCGTTTTGCCTATTTTCGGGATGACGTGTGTGTGTGTGTGTGTGTGTGTGTGTGTGTGTGTGTGCGTGTGCGTGTGCGTGTGCGTGTGCGTGTGCGTGTGCGTGTGCGTGTGCGTGTGCGCGTGCGCGTGCGCGTGTGCGTGTGCGTGTGCGTGTGCGTGTGCGTGTGCGTGTGCGTGTGCGTGTGCGTGTGCGTGTGCGCGCGTGTGTGTGTGTGTGTGTGTGTGTGTGTGTGTGTGTGTGTGTGTGTGTGTGTGTGTGTGTGTGTGTGTGTGTGTGTGTGTGTGTGTGTGTGTGTGTGTGTGTGTGTGTGTGTGTGTGTGTGTGTGTCGAATGAACGGATACTAAGAAAAACACTAAATTTTAAACTTAAGTTTCATTCCGGCGAGCGGTGAACTGATTAGATTTTGGGTACAGTCAGAACATCTGGTTTGGAGAAGAAAATTCTTTAAACAAAAGTTACTTCTTATTCTCTATAATTTTTACAAAATTTTCCGAAAATTATCCGTATTCGAGAAGTTTAACAAAATGTAAAAAAATCAAATTTTTAACCCATGCATAATTTCTCTAAAATTGACAATTTTCGAGATATTTTAGAAAAAGTGTAAATTTCAAATTTTTAAAGAAAACTCAAAAACGTTTAAAGAAAAACACATTAAATTTGAAACTAAAGTTTCATTTCGGTCTGAGGTGATCTGATTAGTTTTTGAGCAGAGTCGGAACATCTAGGGGTACTTTATAGGGGTCATTTTTATATTTTATGAAATATATCTGTTATTTACGTTTGAAGAAGAAAGTTCTTTATATAAAAGTTACTTCTAATATTATTCTCCATAATTTTTGTTTTATACAAAATTTTCCTAAAATGGTCCGTATTCGAGAAATATTTCAAAATGTAAAAATTCTGATTTTTAAAAAAATTGTTAAACTAAAAGTTGTTTGCGATATCGATCTCTATAATTTTTGTTATATACATGATTTCTTAATATGGACCGTAATGGAAAAATTGGAGCAAACGTGTAAAATTTTAATTTTTTATTGTTTTCATTGCAAATGAATATATATTAAAAAATGTTTCGAATTTAAAGTATGTGAAAATGTATATGTTTAGTTTATCCTCTAAACATATACAGAGGTGCTACAACAGGTTGTACAAAATAACCGGAAAAAGCCTGTAATAACTAGATAGGAAAGTCATGTATTGGACACATTAGATTTTTTGAAGAGCTGGATCACCTAATATAAGTTAAAAAATTTCTTATAGCAAAATATTTATTGAATTATGTTCAATGTTTATCGTTTTTCAAAATGAAAAAAAAAACAGTTAAATTCATCTTTTAATTTTAGATTCTAATTGGTGCTTTACTGGCTATTGGAACAGCACATCCATATGGCGCTGGAGGCAAAGGAGGCTATGGAGGTAACAGCGTAGGAGGAGGAGGAGAAAGCAGTCACGGTTATGGAGGTTCTGCTGGACTACATGGAAGCGGAGGTGCTGGAGGTGGACAAGGATTTGGAGGTAATAATTAGTTTATAGAATAAAAAAATTGGGAAAATCAGCAAATAATCACTTTTCCTGCCTAGGTAGCAAAGTGATGAGTTTAACTTCAATGAATAGAATATATTTCTGTTTTGGTTATTTATGGAATAATAAATTTAAAAAACAAATATCAAAATATAACACAATCAAAAGATCTAAATGTTTTTAACATGTTGTTACTAGGGGTCTAAAGGGTAAAATCCTAAATTATCATATTCTTAGCCGCTATAAAAAATATTGGAATTGGAATTTATGTATCCCGATTCCTATTTATTTCTATTTGTATGAGGAAAATAGTGTAACAACAAAAGTTGGTCTCCGGTCACTTCGTGGATGCGTGACAGCTAGGACGTTCCACCATGTGACTTAGCGGTTTATTCTGTAACGTAGTAGGTAATTTTAACTACCAGGTTAAATAGTTATTTATTCATCAAGGGCGTAAAACAGGCGTTTTTGAACCGCAACGTGTAAGTAAGAGCCCGAGCCGCTAGGCGAGGGCTGTTAACACGTAAGGTTTATAAACACTCTTTACGCCCAAAATACATACAAAATTTTATGCACGAGCCTTTTAGTGATAATTTAGTAACAAATATATAATATTTTACGTACAACCATTTTAATGATCGTTTATTAATAAATAGCTATTGTTTTAATAAATAGATGTGAATTTAAAAAAAAATATATATTTTTTCAATTACTATTGAACAATATAAGTATTATATATCCACTTTCTATTGATTAATGTAACTCATATAGTAAGTTTTTTTTTTTTTCATTACTTAATTATTTTTAACCATTACATATTTTCAACAAAATTTGACCATAACTTCAACCTAGACGAAAAACTAGTTGACAGTTGACCATGGGCGTCGTTACACAATTCTATAGGGGGGGGCAAAATTTTGAAAAAATTTAGAATATTTATTAGTTGGAAAACATAGAAATTGAAAACTAAAAGAGCAATACAAATTAACAAAAGTTTTTAATAAATAAAATAACCCAACAAAAAAGACAAAAACTAAAATTAAAAAAAAAAACAAGAAACACATATTTCTAAAAAACAAATAGAAGGTGTGAGATAAAAGAAAAATATGAACAAGGAGACAGAGCCATACATAATATATAAAAAAAATAAAATATTTATAGAAACACAAAAACAAAAAAAAACTCACTCAAACACGTCGACCTAGTGTTCGTTAATTTTTAATTTCTTCTTCCTCTACCTAAAATAATCGATAACAGAAAACATAATTTCTTTTTAGTTTTTTGCGATTATTTTTGGATGTAGGTTCATCATGCAAAGCGCAGTCAGCCTATTTTCATTCATTATTCGCTCTGTGCGTGACAGCAGCGCCAACTAATTTATGAACTAACGGACGATATTTGCGTATACTGACAATACAATTTTTAATGGAATTAAAAAATATATATGTTGATTTTAATAAAAGTATATAGATTTGTAAAACAAGTGAAAAAATTAATTATTATATATTTTTATTAGGTACTTCAGCTAAAATAAAAGTAGTATAATTAATAATAAACCATAGGCAGGCTACGGTGGTGTAGGTGTCTACGGCACGGCATTCATTTGTCAGCCAATTTTCTGGTAAAACGAGACACGGTTTAAGATCATACGGAAGACCATGTGAATTTATTTGCATGGTTCTCTATAGGATTTGATGGATGCCATATTAGCAGAAATTTAATTTCTGTTGATATGACATCCAGATTATTATTAAAATAAAATCACCATGCATTACCGTTTTCGATGATGGTAGGTGGGGCTTTCCGGGTTTTCCTCACCTGTAAGTCAAATGTCACCATTAATTATCTTTAAATCGTCCCAGAGCGCCACAGCAAATAATAATAATAATAATAATAATAATAATAATAATAATAATAATAATAATAATAATAATAATAATAATAATAATAATAATAATAATAATAATAATAATAATAATAATAATAATAATAATAATAATAATAATAATAATAATAATAATAATAATAATAATAATAATATTTTTCCCCGCACAAGCTCAGCTTTTGGAGTTAAAATTCACTCATAAGGGGATGAATTAGGGAGAGAATGATTATTATAAGATTATATATTTACCAGAAAATGTATATGTTGCCTAAGCCTAATAAGTTAACATTGAAGAAAAGGTTAAATAATGTGAAAACAAAAACATTACCATTATATAATAACGTAGTCTCAAAACGTATTAACAAAAATAATTGGTAAATTTGCGATTGTAATTCATATTTTCTTTATTTTTAGTTCGAAAGAGTCCATAGAAATTAATTAATAAAATTGGTTTCCTATCAATAAGTCACAAGATTGCATTTCAGCCACATACAATAATCAAAGGCAGAAATCTAATCCTTGCTCAACATTTAAGAGTTAAGAGATGTTAAACAACATTGTAAAATAATAATTTATTGTTTATTTAAAACCTTTCAATTTTCTGATGTCTACTATTTCCAGTATTAGTGTTATTATTACAAAAATAAAGGTTTTTTCTTCTTATTGTACAGCTATCCATTTATTTCTTTGATTTAATTTTCATTTTGCTACTAAAAATTTATATAATTTACACTGTTTTTCTGCTAGTATTTTTACAATTTACAACACAGCAACTGTCATTGCTTTATCGCCTTGGACAAATTTCGCTTGTGTTTGATTTTGTAGGTTTTATTGTGTTTTTTCGTGGTTTTTAGTAGCATTGCTGCATTTAGTTATTGTCAAGTCAATTAGTGTCAAAGTCATAATAAATACATCTTTTAATTTTCTTCTCTCATTTACAAAGAATATTTTATTTCTGTGCTAATTTTACGTAATAATACGTCAATGCGCGTGCGCCCATACTTAATTTAGTACTACTAAAAATTGGTATCGTTGCAAAAGGAAAAAAATATTTTTAGTTCTAAATTTAGTACTAAATTAATAACTTGATTTAGGGCTAAATTTTAGTACTTAATTTAGTATTGTGACATACAGCCATTACGTGTTGTAAAGCCGTAAAAGCCAGGGGGGCAACTGCCCCCCCTTGCCCCCCCCCCCAAACGACGCCCATGCAGTTGACTATATAATTACTACTGTTAATTTGGATTCAAAATCTTCTGGTAATTTTCAAAACTGTTCTAGTTTCACAATTAATTTTGAAACAAATAAATGAAATAAAATATTTGCATAACTCTTTCCTATTTATTTTAATTTCTTAATCATAGAAAAAGTATAGTATTTAACTTGTGGGTAATGGCTATTACTCAGTCGGATGATTATACTACTCACCTGCGGCTGGCTCGTCGTGCAAACTTCATCCTCGTGAGTTATAGCCATTATTACCCGCTCATTGAATAATATACTATTACTTTATTGCTCAGCGGGCCATAAAGTAGTTCGCGGGCGATAAAGTAGACCGCGGGCGATAAAGGGGCATTTTACGCCCGCTAAACTTATTTATAATCTGGACTTTATCGCCTGGTCGTGTATAAAGGTTTTTTATAACTATATCATTTAAATTTTAACCCAAATTTCTATTATCCAGTATTCCATCAATTTAATTTTGTGCTATAACGAATCCTAGTTAAAATAGACATGGGAACGATGTAATATACCTAAAAAATTACTTGAAAGTAAGCCCAACGCAGCATTAAAAATAAGAAAAAAAATATATTTGACGGTTAATCATTGCTAGATTTATTGCTGACACAAGTAATAATGTTAACCAAATAATACAGAATACAAAATTTAAAATAACATCCAGTTATTTATAACCCAGAGTTAATTTTAACCAAATAGGCTCCTTTGCCGACTATCGCTTAACCGTCTACGACATGGAATGAATAATGGTGAATGAGGGACTGAATGGGAAAGTAGTAGGACGCTACAAACATATTAGGGTGATATCACAGAAGAGGTGGTAAAAATAAATTTATCTATTTAGTGTTATTTCCGCGTTTTTTGCATTGTCCGTCATTTATTGGTTTTCTTTCTTTTTATATCCTCTCAGGATTTTTATTTGTGTCCAAAACTTTCATTGATCGAGTTTATGTGTTTGTTATTTCGTTACTGAACTCTTTCCAACTAACTTTTTTGCCGTTTTTACGACTTCGTTCATTAAATTTTGCTTCATATCTATTCGTCTTCATCCTGCTGTAGTTTCGTTTGCAAATATTTTTAATTTTCTTTTACTTAACTTTTTATTTCGTTCATTTTAGATATTAATAAATTTCAATGAATTTAATTTTTCCCCACGTCTTCTCTGTTATCGCCATTACTGCTTCTTTAACCCTAAATTTCAACCTTATCTTAATATACTTCAAACACTAACCATTCGTAAAATTTACGATTTTTTTTAAATTAAAATTAGCAAATTTTTTATTATGGTGTTTTAAGGTACAGAGAAGGTAATTTCGACGAAAAAAAAAAACACATTTTAGTCTTTATTAAAGCAACTAATACAACAGCGTGCGCGATGCTTTGCGCAGAATGCACGTTGACATTGGTTACAATATAATGACGTTATTCGTCGTTTTTTACTTTCCTATCTGTATACAGATATAAGGAAAGTATAGGAATCATGATTTTTTCGACCTCGAGTTTTCGACGGATTTTTACGTTTTGAGGTCTAATGAATTAGTTTTGAATATTTTCGCGATGATGTCTGTGTGTGTGTGTGTGTGTGTGTGTGTGTGTGTGTGTGTGTGTGTGTGTGTGTGTGTGTGTGTGTGTGTGTGTGTGTGTGTGTGTGTGTGTGTGTGTGTGTGTGTGTGTGTGTGTGTGTGTGTGTGTGTGTGTGTGTGTGTGTGTGTGTGTGTGTGTGTGTGTGTGTGTGTGTGTGTGTGTGTGTGTGTGTGTGTGTGTGTGTGTGTGTGTGTGTGTGTGTGTGTGTGTGTGTGTGTGTGTGTGTGTGTGTGTGTGTGTGTGTGTGTGTGTGTGTGTGTGTGTGTGTGTGTGTGTGTGTGTGTGT